AGGGAGGGAGAAGAGGAGAGAGAGAATGGACAACTAAGAAATGTTTTCTAAGCTCTAGCTGGTACTTGTATGCTTTGTGCCCCTCTACCCCTACTTGAACCCAGTCAGCAGAAATTATTGTCACCTACTCTAAGGATTGTCTTTGGAGGGCTAGAAGTGATCCTAATGAAACAGCATATTAGGAAAGAGCTCTGAAGGGCTTTTATTGGATTTCTTTTCATAGACGCCAATATCACAGTTTCATTTTTTTTTGAATTGGAGTCTCACTCTGTCGCCCAGACTGGAGTGCAGTGGCCACTCCCGGCCACTGCAGCCTCGACCTGCTGGGGTCCGGCGATCCTTCCGCCTCAGCCTTCCGAGTAGCCAGAATTACAGGCGTGCGCTACCACGCCCGGCTGATTTTTTGATTTATTGTAGAGATGAGGTCTTGCTGCCCAGGCGGGTCTTGAACCCGCGGGCTCAAGCAATCCACTCACCTCAGCCTCCCAAAGGCGCGGGATTACAGGCTGAGCCACCGAGCCCGGCCACAGTTTCATTTTAATACATGTTATATGTATTTATATATTTATATTTGTATTTAGTCTTCATCACTTCCTGCCATTCTATAACACACATTTTGAATAGATGGTGATTTTCTTTGTTCATTGCTTTTGGTAAACTGGCAGTATTTTATTGATTGTGAAAAAATAATTTGGGATTCAACAAAAGAAGACCTACTTATGAAAGATCTTGGTTTTGCTGTACTGAAAGAGGGTAGAGTTTAGAAAGCAAGTGATCACTCTCTAGTTGAGAATTTGCTTTATAAAATATGAAAGCTTTAGAAGAAGTTCTCTATTCCTTTGAATCCCCTGAGTTCTTGATCCCTTTTTGTATGTTTTGCATTGGAAGTAAGTGGAGAGGAATAGCTACTTTTCAGAAAAATAGAAAAAAATGTTCTATTTAACTTGGTTTCCCAAATGCTTGGAGGATTTTTGTGTCTTAGGTACAAACCTAAATTAAATGTTTTTGAGTGCCTTCTCTAGCTATAGTTTGTTACTGAAGCCACGTATTTATGTAAGTCTAACCAAAATATCAATGGGTAATATGCAGAGAAACAAGTTTGTTCATTGATTCAAATCTCTGGAATGTAGTAGATTCTTTTCATTTTCTTGGCAGAAACTAGTTCACATAGTTCAAGTTTTTTTTCTGTCCTGTTATAATTTTCTCTTTTGACCAGTGCCTGGACTAATTTCTTATACCTAACATTTATCTTCATTTCCTTAATCTCACTCAGAATATTTGGAGACTCTGATTTTTCTCCTGAACTAATTTGTCACTGAGTAGAAATATCATATGTTGATTAAGAAATATATTCTGAGAGGTCATATGCTTAAGCTTTGTATCTTAAGAAATAAAAGGAGAGTCCCTTTGAGTCCCTTTGGGAAATGTCTTTGGAATATGCTGGATTAAATCAAATTAAAGTTTATTTAAAATAGGATTTCTCCCAACTTTTATTCTGTTTTATCCTGTTAATGTGCATTGTATATCACAGAATACTGCATGGCCCGATATGGAAGAGGTGAAATAAAAAAAACGGCAGCAGCACTAAAGGGCATTAAAATTGACAAGTTTAAAAACTGTTTTGAGGCAACCCCTGGGTCCTCTCCCACTGTGGGAGTTTTTCTGTCCTTTCAATAAATCTTGCTTTAAAAAAACCCCAAAAAACTGTTTTGAGCAATGGAAAAAGTGTCTCCATAAGTGTAGTGCATCAAATGGAGAGAACTTGGAAGGTGACTGATATTTAAACATGTAAGAATAACTACATAGTTTTTTTTTAATAAATAAATTCCATTTTGGGGGACTTCTCACTCATATTTGAAAAGTCTAATGATACCATTGACTATCTTTTTTCTTTTTTAACTTGGAAAATGAATTAAGATAGGTTAAACTTCAGGATTAAACATGTATATATTAGTATGTTTAGTTTTGTTTCGGAGACTAAAAACTTTATGTACTAAGGTCTTTTGTTGTAGCATTTTCTTTAAGATACCAATTTGTTCAAAGTTAGAAGTTCATTGACAGCTTAATTTTGTTTCTGTTCTTTCTTTCTCCCTCAACCCTTTTTTGATATGTTTGTGTCTGTTTTTCTCTATCCTAGGCTCAACAGCAGAGAAACCTGGATAACATTGTCTTGCAACAACCCAGAATAGGTAGCAAGAGAAAATCTAAGAAAGATGCATATATAATCTTTGATACAGACATAGAAAGCACTAGCCCCAAGTCTGAACAAGATTCAGGAATTCTGGATGTTGAAGATGAGGAAGATGATGAAGAGGTAACTAACATCTAAACTGGGGATGTGGGAATTTTTTTAAAGCTTAAATACACTATGGTTTGGATGTGATGAAGTTTATTCTTATACTACAGTCTGTGTGATCTGGATATCAAATGCCATTATGAATACAAATAGACTCCAAAATAAGGAAACTGAAGATACGCTAAGATAGTTTAGATCCTGACTATTTTTAAATAATTTAAATTTTAAGTGCATTCCTCTTTTTTTTTTTTTTTTTTTTGGAGTTGGAGTCTTACTCTGTTGTCTAGGCTAGAGTGCAGTGTTACACTCACAGCCACCTCAGCATTGACCTGTGGGCTCTGGCGATCTTTTTGCTTCAGCTTTCCAAGTAGCTGGAACTACAGGTATGCAATACTACACCTGGCTAAAATTTTGATTTGTTGTAGAGACGAAGTCTTACCATGTTGCCTAGGCTGGTCTCGAACCTGCGGGCTCAGGCAATCCTCTCATCTCAGCCTCCCAAAGTGCTGGGATTATAGGCTTGAGCTACTACGCCCGGTCTGTATTCGTCTATTTTTTGAAAATTTTCAGGGTTTACGGATTCTATACTGATTGGGTACTACATTAAGGAAAGAGTAGTTTACCTGACCTAGAGACAAGAGGTGTAAGGTGATTCCTGGTGAAAATGGTCTAGAGTTTCTTAAGACAAAAGATGTTACTTCAGAAGGTGAGGAGTGAATAAATCAGGGTTTTGTTTTTTTTTTCCTTGAGAAATGGCTCAGATGGAAAATATTAAAAGTTTCCAGAAAGTTGAGAATAGATTTCTGAAGGAAATAGACGTATGAGTGATTATGGGGTATCTGGGAGTTTTGTGACATATCCATAACTTCTTAGATTAGTTCTGTGTTACTGTCAGGCAAGAATAAGATTAAGTGACTTACCTAATACATATTTTATATCCTTCTTTGTTGTTGGGAATACATTTAATCTGTGTTTAAAAATAAAACTATTGTGACGTGAGATTTCCTGTTAAAATGTTTTTTTCTAGATATTTATCATTTGCATTAGCTGGGTCAGTTTCTTTGCGAGTGTAGTGTTTAGGAACATGAGCTTTAGAGTCAAAAAGACTCTATTCAAATCCTTGTTCTGCCATTTTATTTAAAAAAACTTATAATTACACCATTTACTTTTAAAACGGGCACTGGCATATGTAAAAATCATTTACTTTTGTACTCAGTTACCTGTTTTGCTTGTAAGTGCTTGTCTCCTTTTGTTTCATTTCTCTGGATAAAACTGGGTTCACCATTTCTTCCCTATCCTTGCCTCCTGTTATACGCTTACTACCCTTCTTTCACTTCTCTCTCCTCAAAAACTATGCCCAAAACTTGTCCTTGTCTAACTTTGTAATCTTAGGTAAATTGTTTATTCTTTTAGAACCTTAGTGTCTTCATCTATCAGGTAAAGGCTGTGGTCTCTGTGCCATAGTATTACACAAATGCCTGCTGCATAAAAAGTGGCCAATAAACATTAGTTTGTCTTATTTGTATTGCTTTGTATTGCTGATTTCTGTTGTGTATCACCGCTATCAGAATGTCTGTCTCTGTTATTCTTCTTTGACTTCAGAAATAGAATTGGCATTGTTTAAACTGTTTGGGCCGAAAGGCAAATAACCAACCTCTTCACGTGTCTGAAACATTAGCATTTAAGTTTGATAGAACGTCTGAGGGACTATCATATTTGTAAAGTAATGCAAAGTAATACATACTTTTTATATAGTTATCATTATTGAGGTGACACATTTCTTCAATTAAGTGAATAACTGTATCGATCATTTATACTTAAAATTCATACTTTATATATATAGGATATGCTTATTATATAAATAAGGCACATTAATACTTAACTATACTTTAAAGTTTTGTTCTATGCCCATTTTACTTGGATTGCAAGAAGTCTTAATAGCTCTTAACAGAACCAAGAAAAGTTTTTGAGTGTTATCTAATGGAACGTAATAGAAGAAAAGAATCAACTATTTGCCTGCTAACCCTTGAAGATAGAAATGGGTAGAGAGGACTTTATCCAACCCTGACTATTTTCTAGCATTCTCTCTTCTTGCCTGGAAAGACTGGTATATTAGGATATGGAGTCACCTTGAAGGTCAGATTGTGAGGTATTTGACTCATCACAGATGACCAGTCATGGTAGTAGTTCAATAAAGCATTAGTCTCAAGAAAGACTAGTTAACTCCTTAATTTATATTTTGAGTACCCATCTAGAAAATGAAATTCTATCAGGCACTGTGGCTTATGGAAATGGAAACTCATCTGTGTTCGTGGATGATACACAACCTGAAGAGATGGTTAGATGATAAGGTGAAAAATGAAGTATATACACAGGTCCTTCTGTAAGGAAACCATTCTTTATCCCTGACTCACTGATGATCCTGGCTATATCATTTTAATTTTTGTTCTCCTATGAGTTCAGAAAAGATGAAGAAAATGAGAAGTAAAATGTGCTGGGGGGGCGGGTTCCTTATAAAGGTGGTACTATAAGATGTACTTGGAAGTTGCTTTTTAAAAAATGGGCCAAATCAAGCAGTTTATATTAAAGATTTGCTGATTGAGCTCTTGCAACAAGATTTCAGCACTGCACTGTCATCTAATGGCATCCTATCTTAAAAAAAATTCTACCTTATATTTATTTACTTCTCAGTTTGAATCTTCTTCAAGTGCACATTCTTAATCTCAAACCTCATGTAGAGAATTATTTATTTAGATGTTTCCAAACTGGTTTCTTGGCATAGTTCTTGCATGGTGTGAATAAATTCTTCAGATAAGGTCTTTCGTGACCCACTGTGACGTTCTGACCTTCATTCTTTTCATTCTTCAACAGACCTCATTGAGAACAGCATAATTTTTGGAATATTGTGACTTTTAATCTGTGAGCATGGCAACTGTGGATATAGGGCAGTGATTCTTAATCTATTTGAGGTCATATATTACTTTGGGACTTAGGTAAAAATATATGCTGTCATTTCCCAGTAAATATGCCTATATATTCACTCACAAAAATTTCTGCATGAAATTTCAAGAGGTTCATGAAATTCATTTTACCCCCATGGCTCAACTTAAGAACTGTGTTGTAGAGCAATTCCTTTTGAACTTTAATGTGTATAGGAATCACATGGGAATCCTTTTAAGGCCCTATCTCCAATACAGTCACATTGGGAATAAGGGCGTAGCCATATGAATTCTGAGAGAGACACAATTCAGTTCACAAGGCAGGGTGATTGGAAAATACACAGGTAAGATTTGTTTTAGAAGGTAAAAGTTCTGTGATTTTGCAGATTGAGGATGAGTCCAGGAGCCTGCATTTTTAGCAAGGTCCCAGGTGCGAATGGTACTTCTGGTCCTTGGAGCACACTTTGAGTTGTAAGACTGTAGAGGACTGCAAGGATGCTTTTTAGTACATAAATCAAACAAATCTATGAGTGTTTGGGTCTTCTGTTTATTTTTTTATTCATATGATTAAAAAATTTTCTGGTAATAAATGCAGCACTTTAAGAGAAAGTTATATCTTGCTTTGTAAAATCTGTTGCTTGTTATAGATTACCAGCATTTTAAATGACATTTTATAATTCTAATTTAGCAAGCTTAGGTTATTTTCTTAATCTCTGAAGTCAGAACTTTACCCTTTCCTATGCTTTGTTTTTTTTGAGTTGGAGTCTCAGTCCATCACCCAGGCTGGAGTGCAGTGACATGGTCAAGGCCACCCCAGCATCGACCTGCTGGGCGCTGGTGATCCTTATGCCTGAGCCTTCCAAGTAGCCAGAACTACAGGTGTGTGCTACCATGCCTAGCTAATGTTTTGATTTATTGTAGAGACGAGGTCTCACCAAGTTGCCCAGGCTGGTCTTGAACCTGCGGGCTCAGGCAATCCTCTTGCCTTGGCCTCCCAAATGCTGGGATTACAGGCTTGAGCCATCGTGCCTGGCCCGTTCCTATACTTTTAATGGAAATACACATAATTTATTCTTCGAGTTGAATGACATTTTTAGGTTATTTACCATGTCTCTAGCTTAATGATACTTGATAGGAGACCATGGAATGAGGTGGGTAGGAAAAGCCAAACACCTGGCACATAGCTTTGCACATAGTGATCAGAGAGTTAATGTATTATTAAACCAAAATTAAGTTGGTACTAGAGATGGGAAAACTTAGCAGCCTGAGGAACTGAGGATAAAATCTTAGTAGCAAATTGTCATCTTGGATAAAAAAGCTACTCATGTGTTTAGCCATCTGAAGCAGTTTTTCTTTTCTTTTCTTCTCTTTTTCTTCTCTACCCCTAGCTTTATTGAAGTATAACAGAGTCAATCACTTAATGATTGCTGTGGAGTGTTGCAGAGAAACATATTCCCTAGTAAAATTCTCTCTTTATGTTATTTTTGGCTTAGCTAATGAAATGGTTCCAATTAATTTCTTTTTACTAATTATATATTACAAGTTGAACTATGTAAAACTTCTATTTAACTATTTTTGATCATCAGCTTAATTCAATTGCTTGTCAGTGTAAGTATGTATAACTTAGGGAATTTTGTTTGAATCTTTATATCACTGTGTGGTATGTGCAGATGTTAATGTTTTTTAAATGTCTAGGTAGAGCTTTAAAAATGTTTTAGATGTAGTGTGAACATTTTAGATTGAGAGTGAATTTATGGCCCTAGGTTCGTCAGAAATATCAGTTTTGCAATATTAGAAGATAAAATATGAAGAAGCCCTCAAGGTGACATATTGTTTGTGGGTGGAGGGACATTAATATCTACCATGGGTAGGCTTATGATGAGGACTAAATGAAATGATATATATAACTATTTTATCAGTGCTTGGTACATACAATGAATGCTATTGGTGTGCTTTTTCTTTGAATAAAGGCAAAATATAAGTTGGTATATTTGGTAATACATATTTGCATGGACTGATGAACACCATCTGCTATAAATAAAATACCTACTCAAATAAAGTAGTATTGAATAAGGAGTA